CTTCGGCTAGCTAAGAAACTGCCGTATGTCTCTAGCCATTCAGCGAGAGCGTCAGCATTGAAGAGAGCAGCATCGATGAGAGTTGCATAAATGCGCAAATCAACAGGAAGAAAGGATCCCATTTTCCAATCAAAGGGCGTTTTTTGGCTTTTTTCTTCTCGTCGCGCACACTGACCACCTCTAGCTCGAAGCAATGCCCCGGTCAAAGTTTGGGGGTCACAGTGGTCGATAATTGAGATGTGGATGCAGAGTTGACTAAAAATGAGAAATACGCAAAGAAAACCGTCAACAAACGCTTGACAAAAAACCCATGTGAGATAAGTATGTCGGGCAGACAAATTTTACGAAGCTCCTGCTCCTCAACTAACCAGTGCACACCTGAATTAGCCGCTTCGCTGTAACTCACGTTGCGTGTCATTGGGTGTGCGCACGTAACTCGTCTATACGTTAATTGTAGACGCCATAAGTTCATGTGAGACCATCGCGCCACTGCCGCGCACTTTCAAGGCGCAACAACGGCACTCGTGAGCTACTCCATCCCACCCATTGGATGGATTCTTCAACAAAACTCATGCTGGGGGTGTGGCTTAATTTCCGATGGGCTGCCTTTTCACCCAAGAATATGCTTTCGTAGTATCAACTAATCGTAGCTCTTGCTGAAATTAGTTCGTGCTAATCAACACGTGAATCTTTGTTCGTCAAACATCGACGTTGCACGTGTCGACACTAGCTGAATAATCCTATAATTCCCCAAGCTACGCAAGCTTGGACACTGTACGGGCGCATTTAGGATTAGTGCGAGCTGCACAGGCCTTTAGGCGCACGGGAATGCAGCAGACTTCATCCATATGGATTGGACACTCCTATTCCAGTGCCTACTGCAGTTGAAGATTGAACTTTTAGAGTCGGGTTTAGATTTGTCCCCGGCCGAAGACAAACCTCAGGATTGGGATTCGTCTCTCGTCGGGGATGGGGACCCAACCCCGGCCGGAACTCGAGGAATGAACCCCTAAATTTACCACGCTATCAATACCAACTTACGATAGTGATGAGGTGCTTACTTGTCGAGCAGCGTATAGGCAATGAAATCCTCGAACTCTCATGAGTTAAGGTATGGGCGAATAGCCACAAACCTGACCTAAAAATACATATAGGAAGTTATCCAAGGTGAAAGTAGTGAATATATAGTCTTTGTAAAATGTTACACATCATGCCTAGAGTTCTGATCTAGGAATACAGCTATCTAGTCCAAGGTATTTAAGGAATATGTCGCCAATCAGAAAAAAAGCAAAGTAGTGGGAAAAATTCATTACACTCTAGACAACAATCTATAAATAATTGAAGATCTCAAATTATAAAAGGCACTTCTGTAGTGATCATCTTGGAAATTGAGCAGAAACAAAGCGTAACAGCTTAGAATAGTAAAAAAAAATAAAACAATGAGGCTGAAAATAATACACCAATAACTAGAGAGGAACCGAAGACTTAAAAATGCCTAATCACCAGGTAGGAGTTCAACGACTCGTGTACACATATCGAATCACTTGTTGGTCAAAGAAAATGGAGATTACGGTCCAGAGCCTGCGAAACTCTAGGTTAACCGCTCAACATTTACACAGAAGCTACGGATACTCATAATCAAAAATGGAAAAATGATTCAAAAGGATTTCTTGGATAGAAGGAGCTACTGAGTTTCAGAACGCAAGTAAGCTGCGTATCATTAAACGATCCCCTTCCAATGAAACTTCTGGCGATCAAAATTGCGGAAATTCAAAATTGAACTATATAATAACATTCCGGTCAAACATCAAAACTAGCATATCACAACAAATATGCGCATGTTTGGACTGTTTTTCACAGATCATTTTCGCTTTCCTTTCTTTGTTTCCCGTCATTGAAATTTTTCGCCCAATTAAACTACACGTTCATTCCATTGGGGCAAATATTTGTGCAGGTCAATAAATATAACATGATAGCAATTTTAAATTTCATAACATGACATTCTAGAATCTAGTCTATACTACGTGCCTAAAATGTACATCACTGAAACCGATCCTTATCAAGATCTCTTGTCTGCGTCGTGGTTCGGAGCCAGCTGAGCAAATCGATTGCGCCGCAGGTAGCTGCAAAAGGAATTAAGGGGAATGAATGCAGTATTTGAAAAGCTAGAAGAGAAAGGTATGTGAAATTGTTATACACAACATTTGTGATCTATGTTCAGATATATGTTCCCATTAGGTATTTGTAAAAAAAAACCAAACAGTGGGCAGATAATCTGATATTGCACTCGGTAATTTTCGCGATTTCCGCGAGCTTCCTCAATTCATCACATTTGCCTTTGTAAAGATTTTAACAGCTTTCCGAGCTTTGTATTATAGGAATAGTAGAACCAACACACCTCACGTAGCCGATGTTTGCTAGAACAAGGATAAACGCCAATCCAGCCGCAATAACAAGCATTCTATTTCTGTGCTTCTCTTTATAGTATTCTTGTTCGAGATCCCTAAACCAAAAGAAGATCAACAAATAAAATTTTGCATAACAGCACTGGAGTTGATTACCTGAAATGACTACTCATCGGAATACGAGATCGAGGACCGAGATATGCTTTGCATCCCTGTCTCGAGTTGAGGTCAAACACATAGATCCCGCTGGTTGAATTTCATATGCAGAAGCCTGAAAACAGTTGTAAAGTAACACCAACACGTGCCAAGGCAAATACAGCAAGTTTCCCACCCTTACGTACGCGAATTAAGGAGCTAAAGTTTCTATTTGGGGTGACAACTTTCCTCAAAAGAGACAGACTATGAATCAACATATGTTTTTTGACCACCTTCGTTTGCCCTGTTTTTTTTTTTGCTGGCCGGCCCGTTCTGGGATCAGAACGCTTGAAGGCAAAAGTCTGTTCTACTGCTGATTGCTTCTTCGCAGTAAATTTTAAGCACGATAAAAAAACGGAACAAGAATGTTCGAGGAAAAAATTCAAAAGTTGAAAAGAATATTTAACTGCCGAGAAGCGCGCTTTTGCTGTCCTCTTCGCAAAAAAATAAACACCCGTTCTCCATAAATTGCAGGCAGTATTTACGAGTGATAAGTGAAAACTGTACAAGTGATAAGTGAATTGAGTGTCGGCAGATAAGACTGATAAAGTAAAGCAGAAGGCAGCACCGTTTCTGAAAGGTGACCAATTAGGTAAGATTTGACATAAAGTGTTAGCAATCGAGTGAATTTCATTTATTACATAGGGAGTCTTTGGTCATGCTGAAAACGGTGTGCGACTAGTAAATACTGAGAAACAATAAAGGCATGTAAGGTAAATGTCTTAGAAAATTAACTAATATCTAATCTCTTTTCACCATTGCAAGTACGGGAAATGTCGAACAAAGCTATCCGAATCATGCTGCACTACACCGTGACAACTAGAGCCATCAATGCTAGATTGAGAGTCGTGGAATATTCAGTGCAGTTGTAAAATATTACCTCATGAAGATGACCAGCTGCATTGACTAAACGACTATCATACTGCGCTCTGCTGGCCGATTTCCGCAAACAGTCGTATGCTTCTTTCACCTAAAACAGACACAGTTTTAAGTTGAAAAAAGAAATAGTTTCCGCACAAAGTGTGCAGAGTAAATCGGGAAGTAATGGGAGAATACGGAAATAAGACCATGAGAATTGGTTGACTGCTCAGAATAATAATTTGAAGGATCACAGAGGCTCAAAAAAATGTGAGGTATTGTTAGTTGCTGACGCCTTATTATAGCCTACCAGCGTAGGCTATGATTAGGCATCAGCAAGTAACAATACCTCGCATTACTTCACAAGTACTGTTTAGAATTGATCTACCTCTTGGGGCGCATTCATGGTCGGTCGTCCGATCGCAGCGATTGTAACGATCGCACAGCATCAGATACGTATCGATCGTCTGACGTTCGATACATGCGAATTACGATCGCTGCAATCGCATGTGTCGCACAGTCGGTGAACATCTACTACTCCACACTCGAACAGTCGGACTTTCGAAATACCGTGACCCGCAGTCACGTTTTGTCCGGGTTTGCACCAGGTCTCCGCGTCGCCTCCCTTATGCGACCGTGATTTGTGCGACTGTTACGTTCGGACGACTACTATGAATGCGCTTTCAGAAAGCACCCACTATAGCTCACGCCATTCAACACTCATAATAATGTGAACCCCGCTTTCGAGTTTATTATTAGTGATTGTATTCCGCCACGACTCTTGAAGCTGTCGAAAAGCGAATTCGACTCCTATTCATGGCGTAGCAAAACTACGAGTATTTCTCCACGTTATTTCTACCTGTGAAGGGAGTTCGAGAAAGTGGGAGTAAGGATAAAACGGCTACGAGGCTAAATGTTAGAGTGGGAAAGTGAAAAAGAAAAATGAGTGAAAAATTGTGCACTCCTATAGGCTACAACATTTTCATAGAGAAAAGATAGCAAAGCTTCAAAATATAAATCCACCAATAACTCATGCAAGAGGGAGTGGGAATTGAAAGAACTGGCACTTGTCACTTCATCAAATAGAGAGTATACCGCTTGATGTAAAATTAGACAAGGCAGAACCCGCAATATAAATGCTCCAAGAACAATGAATAAATAAGATTATGAGAGATTACGGCTGTAGAAACTCACTTCCATAAATGACTCAGTATCAGAAGTTCGCCTCCATCCCATGCGTCTATCCTTTGATAAGCGCCTTGCGATCAGGATGGAGCTAAAACTGCTGTGTATTGGCTCATGAAAAGGGAGATTCGAAACCGTTAAACCAACGAAATGGCGTGATTAATATATATCGAATATCAAATAACATACCTAAAAAACGTAGATGTTTTAAGGGAAGAAAAACCGAGGAAAGAAGGATGGTAGCTCAAGGAATGTATAATTATCATTCAGTTAGGTTTCTAAATCACACTATACCCACTGTCCTAAACCACACCGTTGTGTCGACTCAGAGCTTCTCACGACCCTCCTACTGCCGTCGACCGGAGAGATAGGTACAATAACCAATGAAACGGCAAATGCTCTATTTTTGCTTATTTTAAAAGATAAATAAATAACACAAAAATCTATGCATAATTTTGTGAGAAATTGAGAAAAACCCGTAAAATGTGACATCTCTTCGGAACGGCCCTGTTCCCCCACATCAACACGAATCACCACTCTGTCACCACAACTCCTAACATCTCAAAGAACCACTTTATGTTAAACTTGTCATGAATCTCTGCTCACGCAGCGGGGCGAGAGATCAATCCCGATGTGACCAAGTTTACCATAAAGTTGGGTTTTCTTTGAGATGTTAGGGAGTTGTGGTGACAGAGTTGTGATTCGTGTTGATGTGTGGGGAACAGTTGGCTGTTCCGACGAGATGTCACATTTTACGGGTTTTTCTCAATTTCACAAAATTATGCATAGATTTTTGTGTTATTTATTTATCTTTTAAAATAAGCAAAAATAGAGCATTTGCCGTTTCATTGGTTATTGTACCTATCTCTCCGGTCGACGGCAGTAGGAGGGTCGTGAGAAGCTCTGAGTCGACACAACGCGCTACTACTGGTTTGGACAGTTGGAGCTACACGTGTGCACTCTTTCAGCACACACACTGATTGATAATTATACATTCCTGAAGCTAACATCCTTTCTTTCGCTCGGTTTTTTTCCTAACTCTACGTTTTAGTTGTATTATTGATTATCATATATATTATCCCGCGTCCATTCTTCACGCGCCTCTCTTCTACACAGTCTCTCGCCGAATCTCCCTTTTCTGATGCCTAAGACACAGCAGTTTTAGCTCCATCCTGATCGCAAGGCGTTATCAAAGGATAGACGCATGGGATGGAGGCGAACTTCTCGATCACAATCGAGTCATTTATGGAAGTGAGTTTCTACAGCCGTAATCTCTCATAATCTTATTTATTCATTGTTCTTGGAGCATTTATATTGCGGGTTCTGCCTTGTCTAATTTTACACCGAGCGTTTACTCTTATTTTGATGAAGTGAAAGTGGCCAAGTTTTTTCATTCCCCTCCCTCCTTGCATGAGTTATTGGTGGATTTATATTGAAGCTTCATGCCATCATTCTCTCACTATCGACACAAATGTGTAGCCTATAGAGTGCACACTTTTCAACAAACAGCAACACAATCATTTTTCTTTTTTCCAACATTCATCCAATACACAATATCACACCCATTTACCTGGTATTTTGCTACGCACGAGCATACACATGAGTAGAATTCGCTTTTTGAACAGGCTTCAAGAGTCGTGGCGGATACAATCACTAATAATAAACTCGAAAGCGGGGTTCACATTATTATGAGTGTTGAATGGTGTGAGTTATAGTGGGTGCTCTCTGAAAGCGCATTCATAGTAGTCGTCCGAACGTAACAGTCGCACAAATCACGGTCGCATAATACGACAAGGCGCGCGGAGACCCATGAGATAAAAACCCGGACAGAACCGTAACTGCGGGATCACAGACGATACCTTTTGGAAGTTGACTGGCTCGAGTGTGGAGAGTAGATGTTTCACCCACACGGCTTTGCGACACATGCGAATTGCAGCGATCGCGAATTTCGCATGTATCGAACGTCAGACGGATCGATTCGTATTGATCTTGCGATGTTACAAGTCGCTGGCGATTGGACGCCGACCATGAATGCGCCCCCAGAGATAGATTTAAGCTTATCTAGTGAAGTATCGCGGGAATTGTTAACTTGCTGATGCCTAATCCCTAGCCTACGCTGTAGGCCCATAATAGGCGTCAGGAACTAACAAATTTTTCTTATTTTTTTTCAGCAGCATCACTCTAGCTCGCACTCGCATCAAAATTCACATCCTATTTCTGCACCGCCCAGCCTCCCACCCAATATCTCAATGGTCTTATTTCCGTAGTATTCTCCCATGACTTCTCGATTTACTCTGCACACTTTGTGCAAGAACTATTTCTTGTTTCAACTTAAATGTCTGTTTTAGGTGAAAGAAGCATACGACTGTCTTGCGGAAATCGGCCAGCAGAGCGCAGTATGATAGTCGTTTAGTCAATGCAGCTGGTCATCTTCATGAGGTAATATTTTACAACTGCACTGAATATTCCACGACTCTCAATCTAGCATTGATGGCTCTAGTTGTCACGGTGTAGTGCAGCATGATTCGGAAAGCTTTGTTCGACATTTCCCGTACTTGCAATGAATGAAAAGAGATTAGATTATTAGTTAATTTTCTAAGACATTGCTTACATCTTTATTGTTTCTATATTACTATGCCCACACTCTATACGCATGACCAAAGACTCCCTATGTAATAAATGAAATTCACTCGATTGCTAACACTTTATGTCAAATCTTACCTAATTGGTCACCTTTCAGAAACGGTGCTGCCTTCTGCTTTACTTTATCAGTCTTATCTGCCGACACTCAATTCACTTATCACTTGTACAGTTTTCACTTATCACTCGTAAATACTGCCTGCAATTTATGGAGAACGGTGTTTATTTTTTTTTTTTTGCGAAGAGGACAGCAAAAGCGCGCTTCTCGGCAGTTAAATATTCTTTTCAACTTTGAATTTTTTCCTCGAACATTCTTGTTCCGTTTTTTATCGTGCTTAAAATTTACTGCGAAGAAGCAATCAGCAGTAGCACAGACTTTTGCCTTCAAGCGTTCTGATCAGCACGGGGCGGGCCAGCAAAAAAACAGCGCAAACGAAGGTGGTCAAGAAACATATGTGGATTCATAGTCTGTCTCTTTTGAGGAAAGTTGTTACCCAGAGATGAATTTTACTTACTCGTTTGCTACATAGGATGGAAACAACTCGCTGTAATCGAGTCGCCCCGTTGTTGAATTACTTTAAAACCGTTTTCAGGCTTCTCATATGAAATTCAAGCAAGGCACCATTGTTGACCTCAACAGAGACAGGGATGAAGCATATCTCGGTCCTCGATCTCGTATTCCGATGAGTAGTCATTTCAGGTATTCAACTCCTAGTCCTGTTATGCAAAATTTATTTGTTGATCTTCTTTTGGTTTAGGGATCTCGAACAAGAATACTATAAAGAGAAGCACAGAAATAGAATGCTTGTTATTGCGGCTGGATTGGCGTTTATCCTTGTTCTAGCAAACATCGGCTACGTGAGGTGTGTTGGTTCTACTATTCCTAAAAGCTCGGAAAGCTGTTAAAATTTCTACAAAGGCAAATGTAATGAGTTGAGGAAGCTCTCGGAAATCCGAAATTACCTCAGATATCAGATATCTGCCCACTATTGGTTTTTTACAAAATACCAATAGTGGGAACATATCTGAACATAGATCACAAATGTGTGTATAACAATTTCACATACCTTTCTCTTCTAGCTTTTCAAATACTGCATTCATTCCCCTTAATTCCTTTTGCAGCTACCTGCGGCGCAATCGATTTGCTCAGTTGGCTCCGAATCACGACGCAGACAAGAGATTTTGATAAGGATCGGTTTCAGTGATGTACATTTTAGGCACGTAGTAAAGACTAGATTATAGAATGTCATGTTATGAAATTTAAAATTTCTATCATGTTATATTTATTGACCTGCAAATATTTGCCCCAATGAAATGAACGTGTAGATTTAACTGGGCGAAAAATTTGTTGACGGGAAACAAAGAAAGGAAAGCTAAAATGATCTGTGAGAAACAGTCCAAACATGCGCATATTTGTTGTGATATGCTAGTTTTGATGTTTGACCGGAATGTTATTATATAGTTCAATTTTGAATTTCCGCAATTTTGATCGCCAGAAGTTTCATTGGAAGGGGATCGTTTAATGATACGCAGCTTACTTGCGTTCTGAAACTCAGTAGCTCCTTCTATCCAAGAAATCCTTTTGAATCATTTTTCCATTTTTGATTATGAGTATCCGTAGCTTCTGTGTAAATGTTGAGCGGTTAACCTAGAGTTTCGCAGGCTCTGGACCGTAATCTCCATTTTCTTTGACCAACAAGTGATTCGATATGTGTACACGAGTCGTTGAACTCCTACCTGGTGATTAGGCATTTTTAAGTCTTCGGTTCCTCTCTAGTTATTGGTGTATTATTTTCAGCCTCATTGTTTTATTTTTTTTTTACTATTCTAAGCTGTTACGCTTTGTTTCTGCTCAATTTCCAAGATGATCACTACAGAAGTGCCTTTTATAATTTGAGATCTTCAATTATTTATAGATTGTTGTCTAGAGTGTAATGAATTTTCTTTTCTTTCTGATTGGCGACATATTCCTTAAATACCTTGGACTAGATAGCTGTATTCCTAGATCAGAACTCTAGGCATGATGTGTAACATTTTACAAAGACTATATATTCACTACTTTCACCTTGGATAACTTCCTTCCTATATGTACTTTTAGGTCAGGTTTGTGGCTATTCGCCCATACCTTTAACTCATGAGAGTTTCGAGGATTTCATTGCCTATACGCTGCTCGACAAGTAAGCACCTCATCACTATCGTAAGTTGGTATTGATAGCGTGGTAAATTTAGGGGTTCATTCCTCGAGTTCCGGCCGGGGTTGGGTCCCCATCCCCCGACGAGAGACGAATCCCAATCCTGAGGTTTGTCTTCGGCCGGGACAAATCTAAACCCGATTCTACAAGTTCAATCTTCAACTGCAGTAGGTACTGGAATAGGAGTGTCCAATCCATATGGATGAAGTCTGCTGCATTCCCGGTGTGCTAAAGCCTGTGCCAGCGCCTACGCACTAAATCCTAAATGCGCCCGTACGAGTGTCCTAAGCTTGCGTAGCTTATGGGAATTATAGTGTCGACACGTGCAACGTCGATGTTTGACGAACAAAGATTCACGTGTTGATTAGCACGAACTAATTTCAGCAAGAGCTACGATTAGTTGATACTACGAAAGCATATTCTCTTGGTGAAAAGGCAGCCCATCGGAAATTAACAGTCCATCACCCCAGCTGAGTTTGCCTTTGTTATTGGAAAATGGGATCCTTTCTTGCCTGTTGATTTGCGCATTTATGCAACTCTCATCGATGCTGCTCTCTTCAATGCTGACGCTCTCGCTGAATGGCTAGAGACATACGGCAGTTTCTTAGCTAGCCGAAGGGCGTACCGCGTCGATAGCGTTGCGGGGAGGGTCATGCTGGATCGCCGGTAGCATATCCTTGAAATTGCGTTCCAGTCCGCACCCTTAGGGGGCCCGCCTGTCTTTTCATCAGGTAGGCTTCCCCTCCGATCTTCCACCTTCGTGGAATGCTCAGAATCAAGTTTGAATTAGGGACAGGAGACTATTGAGTGTGCACTACGCAGCTCGCCTCTTTAGACTTACTTAACACATTGGCGACCGTGCGACATGACGCCATACCACACTTTTATCCGGAGCGTACTAGTTTTTGCTCCTTAGCCTGCAACGTTTGCTCGGTGTTCTGAACTATCCAAATATAAAATTCATTCTATTGGGTGCGAGAAACAATCGTTCATTATTTATTATAAAATCTTGGAAGACCTTGGTCTTGGGCCTCGGTTGTCCAGTGTTCGGCCATCTCAAGGGTCAGAGGATGATACTCGTTGTTACGGAATGCCAAGGAGTCTGTCCAACATAGAGGACGGCGGCCAAGTGGCCGTTCCTCTCTCTGCCATGTAGAACTCATTCGGAATGGTAAACATGCCTTGATGTCAGCCTGTGTCTGGCTCATGTTTGGAGCGGTCGGGTTGGTAGCGTTTATGAAGAAGGTTTGTAGGTCCTTATTTGAAATATTTGGGTTACTAGGCTTCGCACTACTTTTAGCCTCTAGGGAAGTCGAAGTTCAAGGAAGCGAGAGCCGGTATGCTGCTGATGAGCGTTATAATAGGCAGGACGCCTAGCGAATCGAAAGGAGCAGCGCTTATCTCGATCAATTTTTTCCGTCACGCAGCCGTGCCAACCCTGTACTACCTAGTGCCCTGGACCCGGATATCGTTGCACTTGTTGAAGCCGTCTGATCGCTCAACTCAACGGGTATCGCATCATTCTGTATCAAATCCCACTAATGCGGCAATTCTTTTTGATCAACTACTTTGCTGGGGATTCATTAAAATGTGAACCTCGTTTAGTGATTTAGCTTTCGTAGATGTGGAGATAGAGTCACAATATGGATTAGATGAATTTCTCACTTTGCAGAAAAGACTACTACCAAGTTCTGGGTGTGGAGCGAGATGCAACTCAACGTCAGATCAAGAACGCTTACTATACACTCTCGAAAAAGGCAAGCTCGTTTATGCTCAAATTACGGTTTTTCAGTCGTTAAGTGTGGCAGTTACTGCTTTTGTGCATCCTTGTCAGCGGTGAATAGCAGGCTATGAATTTTTATTTTAGTATCATCCTGATGTCGCTGGACGAAATGCAGGCACAGAGTCGAAGTTTATTGAAATAACGGAGGCGTACGAGTGCCTTAAGGATCCTGAAAGGAGAAGGATCTATGATGGAGATTCGGTTGGACGAGGGGGGCGATATACAGATCGATCATCTGATTTCAGGGTATCTAGAAAGCTTTTCCTCATGCTTTTTGTGAATGAAACTCAGCAATTATTTCAGCAGCACTTTGGACAGCGTCGAGAGAACCCCTTTTACAGTAAGCGCTACACGCAGCAAGAGTACGAGCGGGTAATATCATTTACCGATAATGAGTGTTATTTGTAGTGGTAGTTGAGTGAGAGTCATTGAACAGCTTTACCTTCATTGACTTATCACTTACCTATGTTGCTGCAGATATGGGAGCAATTCAAGAGGATGCAACAAGAAAGAGAAGCGTATGATGCGCAAATGAGGCGAGAAGGAGAAAAGTTGTGGGAACAGTTCGCCAGGGAACGTGCCACGCGATGGCAGCAATTCCATTCCAGGTAAGGGGAATGTTTCACCCTTCAAACTTTCCGGGAAAAATAGGCGTTCCTGTCTAGAGTGGCGGCATGAGTCGCGCGCATTGTTGCCCTTCCATCATTGTCCAAGGCTCGGCCGGCAATTGACTCACGGCAGGGTGAATAACGGTCGAGGAAATCCTCGACAGGGGGTCGTATTTGCTCCGATGAGAGTGGGAGGGGGTCGTAATCAAAAGGTTCATCAACGGACACAACGGTGCTGCTGCCACTTATTTGCTGTCATCATTAATTTCACAAGTGTTGTAGTTAGCCTAATGCAAATAATATCTTACAACTGTCTGGAATTAAAATTCAAATGGAAAGTGGTTGTTGGTTTGGTTCGTAGTGATCAGTATGGCATAGGAAGGCAACGCGTCCTGCAAAAGAATCGTAGGGAAGGTAATCGCTTGAGAATCTAGTGGAGAAACAGTATATTAGTGGCAAGTTCAACACGGAAGGATCCGCTTTTTTTCTTG